CTAAAAAAAAAAAAAAAAAAAAAAAAAAAAAAAAATCAGTTCATTAATGAAAAGATAAATATGACAACAGTTTTATCAAGAAATTTGTACCTGTTGTGCTGTTTTCCCATGATCATATGCATAATGGGAACATTGTTTCTCTTTGGGTGTATTCTATTCTGTCACATAGTAAGATCAATAAACTTTTTGTCCCTCAACTGCTCCCCGAGGTTCTTAAACTTATTGTCCAGTTATGGTGTTCTCTGGATGGGCAGAAACCTTGTTTTTCTGCATTCCTTCTTGTCCTCATGCCATCCTCCCTGCTGATGGATGAAGGAGGAAGGGGAGGAGTTCAGGGGAATGTTCACCTAAGAGAGGTTGATGTTCTCGCTGAAATGACAAGTTACCAAACAGGTTTTGTGTCTTCACAACAAGGCTTTTATCCCTGCTTTAAAGTATGGGGAACAAGTGCCCATATCCTTTTCTAATCTACTAGTTGGACAAGCCCAGCTTTCAAATATCTGAGAAAAGAGGAAAGAACTGTAAGCTGCCACATCTGGGAAAATTGGAACTCTTTGTAATTGAATTTGAAATAGAGACATGGCCGGAACTCTTGTTCACCCAATGGCCTTCCACCTACCCCTAGGTCTTCTCCACCTGCCCTCCAGAATCACCAGCTTTCAGAGGCATGAAAGCCATGGGTGGGACCTGGTCTCAACAGGGGAAGCCTAAGGCCACCCCACACTTTCCAGCAGTGAAAGCAGAAATCCTTCCAGAAGATTCCATTTTTCACAAAAGTACAGCAAAACTGCCCTGCACATTCCAAATTCATAAGACTTCAGAAATGCTAATCACTCTATTCATAGCAGTTTCCACTGTCCCATCTGGTTATTGTCCCAGGAAGGGGTGGGGAGCCATGACACCCCAAAAGCTGAAAGATTTCCTTTGGGCTGGATTCTCGTCCTCTAAAGTAGCTGAAAGCTGGGGGATGGTACTTTCCAGCAAAGGCCTGAGAAGCCCAGTGGCCTGGCCTGCCCGATCTGTGTTCTCCGGGCCAGGGGAGCAGAGCCCTGGAGCCCCTCCAGTGGTGCTGGCCAGTGCCTGAATTTCTTCCCAGTCCCCTGGGTACATCTGCCCTGGGACCTTCCACTTTGGTTCCTAACATGCAGAACAAGGCAGGCTAGGAGAAATCCTCACCTACCTCCTTGGTTGAGTTTAATGAAAGTTTTCTTGAACCCCAAGGCCACCTTAAGATTCTTTTTGTTTAGGTACTGGTGATCGAACTCAGGACCTATTCCTTGTGAGGCAGGCACGGTGCCACTGAGCTAAATCCCCAGCAGCCTTCAGATTCTTGAAGCCAGTTGCCTCCTGTCCGAACTTGCCATTTGAGGTTGAGGGAGCATTTGTGAAGGGCCTCAGGACTCTTTTCTGGGTGCTGGAACTCAGCTCGGGCCAGCCACTTCTCGGCTTGGGTTACAGTCCCTCCATTTCCTGCAGTCAAGGCAATGGCTGTGACTGTCCCACCCTACCTGGAAGTAAAAACTAACATTTAGAGCTGAAGCTAACAGAACTTAGTCACCGACAAACAGGTCACACTTCGTAAACTTTAACCTCAGAGTATTTGTGTATGAACCAAAGCTGCCAAGGCTAGTAACCTGAATTCTGGAAATACCTTCCAAGGGTGGGGCAGAATGAACAAGGAAGCCACGTGCCAGGCGGGCCTGTGTGTCTGTGTGTGTGCGCGTGTGCACGTGCCTCTGCGCATACTCTACACACGCATCTACTCTCTTCAGGTGACTGGTCTGATTTCAGTCCTTGGGACTTCTGATTCTGTGTGGCCGTCCCATTGTTGTTACGTGAGTATACTACTTTTGAGGGTCATGACAGAGTAAGAGGCCTGTGTTTTGTTATCAGAGATGGCTCAGGTCTCTCTGGCCTTTGTGAAATGACTTAAGTCCTCATACAATGAACACTGTTTCCAGGTTACTGCCGACAGCAAGTTACAAGGATCTCTTTAGCTTTCAACTGGCCTCTCTGGAGAGGGTCTTTCATCCTGAGCTATGCCCCAGCCTTCATCATTTTTTACTTTGAGACAAATTTTTTATTTTGAGACTAAGTTGCTAAATCACCCAGGTTGGGCTCAAACTTTTTGGCCTGAGTGTGCTGGGATTACAGGCTTTGAAACCCTTTTTCTGAATTTGACAATGCCCATTCTTCCAGCAAGCCCTTGTGACCTTTTTTATACGGCACACCGTGAGTGGCGCCAAATAGTATCTCTAACTGTGACTACCTACCAGGGCTGCTTATTGACAGGCCTCTCTCCAGCAGCGTCACGTGTGGGCCGCCACTGGCCCTGTTCTAGCTGCCTGGGCTGCAGACTGCTTCTGCACCTTCACGGATACTGCCCAACCCGTACCACAGTTGCTGCCTTCCAGCCTTATCTCTCAAGTGTGTAGGACTCTAACTGGTGTCCAGAGAAGCATGCTTTGCCATTTTGTTTCTCTTCTACAGAGCTTTTCTAGCCTCCCACCGTCTCATTTCCTGTTCTTTCCAGGGCTCATCCCTGATTTGTAGTTCTTTTTCTACTACTAGGGACCAGGGATTTATCTATAGGGGCAAGAAGGAAGAAAGAAGATGGTGCCATCCGGAAGCCAGACCTGGTGAAGCCAGCCTTGCAGAGAGCAGGGTGCGGTGGCCACTTTGAGAGAGGGAGGCCTGAGTGTGCCAGGCCTGAGCAGGCCAGTAGCTGGGGCCAGGGCCTGGGAGTCTGGAGCCTTTGACTTCTGCTGGAGGCATTCGGTTCAAGGCAGGTCCTTCGGCTCACTGTTTCCCTCCCTCCTCTCAGGACTTGGTTCTGTGTGGAAGCTGGAACTGCCAGTCCACCACCCCCACATCAGGGCTTCTATGCACACCACACACCGCAGCTAGCTGCTTCTTAGGGCTTGCCCAGTCCACTCGTTGGCAGGCCGCCTCAGCCTGGGACTCCACACAGGGCCGCCTGGCCAGGAGGAAGCTGCGTGGAGGGAAGGGACAGGTGTAGTATTTCACCACGGTGAGTTTCCAAGCCCATCCCCATCCTCACAGCAATGCAGCGCGACCTGGTAGTCAGTCTCCCATCTCGTTGTAAATTATTACAATTCTGCCCATTCCTGTGAGTGGTGCTGCTGACATTTTCTACTTCATTCTGCTAGGGTTGGCTGCTCCCAAAGAATAGTGTCTTCTTGTCCTGGGAGGGTCTATGCTTCATCTAATAATTCTATCTTCTAAATTATTTCCTGTAAATTTCTTCTAGAAATAACTACCTTTATACCAGTTTAGGCCAGACTTGGGGGTAAAGAAAGAAAAAAACCCTTTTTTTTTTCCTCATTGTTGTTGTTGGTTTCTTTTTTTTAAAACAAAGTTACCCTCTGTAGCCCAAGATGGGCTCCAAATTTGCAATCCCCTGCCTTATCTTCCACGTGATGGGTTTACATCATGTGCCACTACACCCAACTTCGGTTCTTTCTTCTAAACTAAATTATTTTCTCAGCTCAACCACCCACCTCATACAATTAAGATTCCAAGTGACTATTTGCTCTTTCTAAAAATCAGATCCAAACCGGGTGTTGGCACACACTTGTGCCACTACACCCAACTTCGGTTCTTTCTTCTAAACTAAATTA